ATGCTACAGAAACCGGGATAAGCTCCGGCCTGATGGGCCTCTTGGCTCGCATGCAGACTTTTACGATGTACGCAAATTACTGGACCCTTCGCAAACGTCCACAATGTTTATGTGACATCCCAAGCCTTTAATCGAAGTCGTTTCTGGGTTCGCGCTTTGGGCTACGTTTTCGACGATTTTTTTTTGTTTTTTTACTCTTGTTACAAGTCTATAGGGTCGGTTAGCAAATTGGACTTTGCCGTAACGTGACAATTTTACGTTACGCAATTTGCTATTTTTGCTCAAAAATTTTCATTGCACCGAGACGGTTTGTTGGAAATGTTACAGGGAATGGAATGGACGGTAAATTTTGGATTGCCTGGGTCATTAGTCCCCTTTAGGTTACCACAGAGAGGTATGACCGTTAGATTACTTAACTGAGTTTCCACTACCTCTTCATGACTTATTTCGCTCCGATCAGCTCCGTTTGGTTTCGCAAACATAGTTAGCCCGTTTCAGTTTTTACACCACTGACACCGATGACCACTCACTGCATCAAGTTTAAAAAACCTGACTTGCTCGGGACTTCGTCGAAAATCTTAGTAACTGCACGCCTTGTCGTCACAAAACGTTCCTCCCCACGCTGCGTGTCAACAAGTCTGTTCACAATCCCTCTATATCTGTCTGAAGCAAAAATTATTAACCTCAGGGGATTCGAAAAAGCTCCAAAGTAGGAGGGTGGCCCTGGAAAAATACAGAAATAGAGAATGAAGTAACGACAACCGCTTCGTATCGTATGGTGCTCGGCTGATGGATCCTTGACACGGTGGTGACATGTGATTTGCTATTTTATAGTCTTTGGGAATTGCGATGATCGTGGCGCAGCCTTCGCAGTCTTTGGCTTCGCAATTATAGGAAGAGCCGACATTGAAGGATCAAAAAGCAACGTCGCTATAGCGTTTAAAATCCTCTGCGGTAAATGCTTTTGCTTGTGTTACTTGCCAGAGGGTCTGTGAACAGACCAGAGAGCTTCCGTGAGACAATCGGAAACAACGGCTTGTTTGTATTTTTAATGATTATCAATCGAAACCGAAAAAGATTAAGAGCTGAAACGCGTTTATGATATAGACAAAATACAAGAGCTGTCAGCAAAGACAATGATTGAACTGTAATTACTATTTAGTAAGCTTTCAGAACAAGGAAGTGGAGTGTATAGCTCTGACAGCCTTAAAGAAACAAAGATAAAATAAATGCAGACCCAAAGAACAAGGAAGCTCATAAAATATTTTTAACGTGTAAGACTGACCGGAAGATGCAGTTTTTCCTAAAAACAAAACTATTATTATAATTCGTAAAGTAAACATAAGAGTGCATTTTTTGTTCTGTTTGTGTTAATCCTGGCTTTGGGTGGGATTTACCCGTACAGAATCCAACAATTTACATTTAAATGTCATAGAAATCCCGTAAGTAGGATTATTTGCAGACCTGGAAACTGAAAATTGCAGAGGTGCAAGTTTCGGTTTCGTAAGGTTATTGTATTACTGACACAGTCGACTTCAAGGGTATTCCACGACTGTAGTCTAATTACACATTCTAGGAAGTAACATGATTCCTTGAAGCTGAAGCCGAGGCTTATTTAAGTGTTTAAGAGGTCGCTTACAGTTAATTCAGTTCAGCTTTCCATCGCCTCAACATGTTTAGTACAGTGTTGTGCTTCTTTTTGTTCCTTTCACATTTGAATGCAGTGATGGCCTTCATCTGTAACGACAACAACTGCGAGGACTGCGTAAACTCGCGCTTCTTTGGAATTCGCTGTAGATGGTGTAGGAGGGATAACGAATGCTATATGCCTGGTGCTGTGCTCACTAATCCTTGCAGCCGAGCGGAAAATATTGTGAAGAGATCTCACTGTGCAGACAAATTGTCACGTTACGATACTGGATTATCGATGAAGATGTTGCTTCTTTCAGCAGTAGCATACGACCCAGAACATCCTCAACAATGCCTTGATAATGCTCTCCCATCTGACAAGTTCAAACTTAAGAGAGTGGTTACAAAGAATTGTGGCTTCGCCCGTCAGAACTGTTCTGGTTATGTTGCTGTTTCGCATTCCATGAACGCTGTTGTGGTCGCTTTTCGTGGCTCTGAGAATTTCGATCAAGCGATTCAAACATTTGTTGAAACCCTGCTTACCCCAAAGACACAATTTCTAAACGGTGAGGTGCAGATCTCGTGGAAGAGAGGTTTTGATGCGTTATGGCCGAGCATGAGGACGGAAGTGAACACTCTCGTTTCGCAGAATCCATCGTATCAGATCTGGGTCACAGGACATTCCTTAGGAGGAGCAATGGCTTCTTTGGCAAGTACTTGGCTCGCTTATCACAACATAGCACCTCGTAAGAACATCATCTTGTACACGTTTGGCATGCCTCGGGTTGGTAACTACGACTATGCTCTGCAACACGATCAACTGGTCAACAACAGTTGGAGGGTTGTTAATGACAATGATTTGGTTCCTCATTTCCCCAGTGTAGTTTCTGTGAGCATTTTAAACGGTCCTTATCATCACGGAAAGGAAGTTTTCTACAGCCCGGAAGCTACCAGCGTGTATTCCCCACACAAAGAATGTCACGGCAGACCGTACAACGAAGATGCTACATGCAGCTTCTCCAAAGGGATCACATCCGATTCTATCGAGAAACACAAAACATACTTCAGCATTCCTGTCGGAACATTCTGGGAAACAGACTGTGTACCCCAAACTCGCAAGAGGCGCGAAGAATCATCAAGATAATTCCAGAAACAACCTGTCAGAGAAGCTCAAAAAGATCGCTCACAGCTTATATTGTGAATGGGCATTCTCACGTATTATAACTAACTGGTTTACTTTATTTGTGGCTCAATAGGCACACCAAGTTGTTTGCTCTAGTGCAGAACTAATAACATCTTATTTTAGTTTTCGTTCCGTTGTTTTGAGTATAAATTAGCAACTGCGCACCAGGCCTATTG